CCTGCACCACCTTCTTCTCCACCGGTTCTTCCCCCCACCGATCCTCCTACGGGTCGACCACGCCGGGTAACTCAACCTCATATCCATCTTCGTGATTATATTGTTGGATTTGCTGCCTTTTCTACTTATGAACCTACCTCCTATCGTGAGACTTGTACTAATCCTCTTTGGCAGCAAGCTATGATTGATGAACTACAAGCCTTGGCCAAAATTGATACTTGGGATCTTGTTGCTCTTCCTCCTGGCAAGACTGCGATTGGCTGCAAATGGGTTTACAAAATCAAGACTCATTTTGATGGCTCTATTGAATGCTACAAAGCTCGTCTTGTTACCAAGGGTTTCAACCAAGAATATGGTATTGATTATGAGGAGACATTCTCCCCTGTTGCTTGGCTTATATCTGTTCGCAGTTTACTTGCTGTTGCTGCTGCTCGCCACTGGGAGCTCTTTCAGATAGATGTCAAAAATGCTTTCCTCAATGGTAATCTTCTTGAGGAGGTCTACATGCAACCTCCACCTGGGTCCACTTTTCCACCTCATAAGGTTTGCAAATTACAGCGTGCCCTCTATGGCCTCAAGCAAGCGTCCCGTGCTTGGTTTGCTAAGTTCAGTTCTACCATTCATGACTTCGGGTTCACCTCTAGGTCCTATGACTCTGCTCTTTTTATACGGACTACTCCTCATGGTACCACTCTTCTCCTTCTGTATGTGGATGATATGATTATCACTGGTAATGATGAAGCTGGTATTCTCCGCCTCAAACGTTTTCTCCACCATCAGTTTGAGATGAAGGACCTTAGTACTCTTAACTACTTCTTAGGCCTTGAAGTCTCTCATGATTCTACTGGTTCCTATTTGTCCCAGGATAAATATGTATCCGATCTTCTGGCTCATGCTAGTCATAACGATTGCAAAACTACCTCTACTCCAGTTGATCCTCAGATTCGTCTCACTCCTCTCGATGGGGATCTCCTCTCTGATGCTACTCTGTATCGCCAGCTCGTTGGCAGTCTTGTCTATCTCACAGTGACTCGTCCTGACATTGCCTATGCTGTTCACATTGTCAGTCAGTACATGTCGGCTCCTCGCACTCCCCATTACACTGCTCTACTCCGCATCCTTCGCTACCTCAAAGGCACTCTGTTCCATGGCCTTTACTACTCTGCTTCCTCCTCTCTTGAACTGCGTGCCTTTTTCGATGTTGATTGGGCTGAGGATCCTACGGATCGACGCTCTACCACGGGATTCTGTTTCTTCTTAGGGGATTCTCTTCTTACTTGGCGTAGAAAAAAACAATACATCACTGCCCGCTCTAGTACCGAAGCTAAATACCGAGCTCTTGCTAATACTACTCAAGAACTTCTCTGGCTTCGCTGGCTCCTTGCGGATATGGGTGTTTTTTCTTCTGATCCTACCACTCTTTATTGTGATAATCAGAGTGCCATTCAGATTGTTCACAATGATGTTTTTCATGATCGCACCAAACATATTGAGATTGATTGTCATTTCATTCGCCAGCATATTACCTGTGGTACTGTTCATCTTCTCCATATTGCTTCTGCTGATCAACCTGCTGATATTTTCACTAAGGCTCATCCTCCTGGACGCTTCAGTGATCTTGTTTCCAAACTCAACTTGGTTAATGCTTTCCCTCCTTGAGTTTGCGGGGGGTTGTTAGTGTATAGCTGTTAGCTTTAGTGTAAAGTCAAGATAGCTGTTAGCATTAGTATAAAGTAAAGCTGTAAAGTAAAGCTGGCAAATGTTTTATGCTTTCGGTGCCCCATTTGGCATCTTATGTTGTCCTCTCCTCTCTATAAAGAGAGTGTACATCTCTTTGTAAATTCAAACAGATTTAATACAGAGTTATTCATTTGTTCTCTCTCTCTCTCTCTCTCTTTCTCAAACTATTGTTTCATATATATATATGAGCAGATGACTTGGTATTTAATAGTGTAGTAGCCTGTGAGAATATGACTTGGTCGTGTGGTGGTTTCTTCTTTTGTTACGTGACAAATCTTTCTAGCCTAAAATAAAAAATATTATTCAAAGCCATGAGTAAGATTTGAATCCAAAACTTTAGATTTCATTAAAAACACTTTTACTATTTAAACAACATGCATATTATGATATTATCTTTTTTATTATTTATTTTTATACTTATCTAAATTATACAGACATTACATGTGTCACCTACTAGTATAAAGAAAAAGTTGGAGTTGGTTTTGATGTCTCAATTTTTTGGTTTTTCAAAAATATCCCAATAACAGTTACAGGGCAGTCAGGCTCTACATTAAACTCTTTTTCTTTTTCTTTTTCTTTTTCTTTTTATTTTTAAATACTAGTTACATAGGTGTTGTTGTGAATTCATTTTTTTTTTTTATATAAATAAAATCTCTCAACCGTTGGGCTTTTCAGATTTAAAAAATGTTTCAATTTTGAATTTAATCATACATTTCACAACCTTATTTCTCTTAAAGAAAGTAATCATATGCGCACGCATCATTTGCCACCACTTCTAGTGTATGTATATACTATTACTAGCGGTTGGCACACGCGATGCGTGTGCAATTCAAATAAATAAAAATAAAATAAAACATTTATCATATATTGTGTGTTAGTTAAGTGGTAAAAGTCTTATTCATTTGACATAGGTCTAAGGTTCAAATCCCCTTCTCTCATTAATCTAATTTTTTTTTTTTCAAATAAAAACGTAGACACGTGGCAGCATAAAAAAGGCTTCAAGACACCATGAGGGGTGTTCACTTTATAATAGTATAGATAGATAGATAGATATATGTGAACACATGATTTAATATCTAATAGTGTAGTGGCTTTTCATTTTATTACGTGGCAAATTTTCCTATCCTAAAATATAAAAAAAATTTATTTAAAGGCGTGAGTAAGATTTAAATCCAAAACTTTAAATTTTATTAAGAATACTCTTATCATTTAGATAACTTACATATTATGATATTAATTTTTTTATTATTTATTTTTATATTTACTTATCCGAATTACACACGCATTATATGTGCCAACTATTAGTATACGTATTGACATCTAATGCTAAAATTCAGGCAGCTTTGGAGTATAAATAAATATTCTTTCCATGTGATCAGAGCATCTCCAATTGTCTCCCAAAAACAACTTCAACCCATCCTCTATATCTTCCTCCCAAATGGAGGAGGATGAATTGATCCTCCACATATAGAGGGAGGATGAAAAAATGAAGGAGACTCTAAAATACTATTCACTCTATATTTCTTAATTATATTCGAAATAACATTTAATGTGTAAATTTAATTTTTATAAAATTAACATCAATAAAAAGTATGAAATCATACCTTTAAAATGAGTATAATATTAAATACGTTTTACAAAAATTTTAAAATTAAATATTTATTAATGAACAAAAATTACTTTTTGATTAGAGTTTGAATGAAGGAAATGAAGGTTTGTAGTTGGAGTTTTAATGAATAGTGATGTCACGACCCAAACCCGCCCCGAGAAGGTTGGCATCGTAACCGGCCAGTAATCCTAGATTACCACAGGCCTTTCTGTACAAAACATACATAACCGGGGCTTGCGGAAGCGAAAACAAAACACTAATAGTCCAAAGAGCTGTGCATTTATATGAACATACATTACATGCCAAAAATGTTAATTTACCCACTACATTACATCACATATAATCAAAATTCATGTACAGAACGTAGGCTCACGCCACATGTACAACCAAAACCAAGCTTCCTAACGACCTTCTAGGCCTAGCCCCAACTCGGAGGCACCAAAACACCGGGTAGACTTCAAAACGGCGGCTCGACTCGGACTCCGCCTAGGCTTGACTCCCAGAGTGCTCACCTATAAATACATATATACAAACAATGAGCTAAAGCTCAGCAAGTAACATTAAAGTAAAGGAGTAGTGAACGAATTCCACATTTCATATATCTATAAAATAAATCATTCATGAACATATTCATCTCATATCAGAACATACATAATGGCATACCCCATAGAACATAACATTTTTCGTCCAACGACTAGAGTAACCGGTCCCGGACACCGATTAAACACATACCGAGATCTCGTAAACTGGTCCACTTAGGACTATCTATGGATGCCATACTAGATTCGCAAACTGGACATTTGTTCACAGAAAACATTTATCATTTCAAAACCATAGCATAACGTAGCACTTTTAAACATAGATCATACTAACATATCTTTACAGAAATGTTACTCACAGTGGGTTTCCAAAACCGGTTGCACGGTCTTCGCCTCCTGACCTGCAATTATTAACATTAGAACACATTATCATAGAAGCAAGTGTTCATGCCATACTATCCTTTCTTTACTCTATTTCATGATTATGAGATGCTAAATGATGCAAATGACATGTGAAAATCATGTAATTCAACTTCTCAAAATTTCCTGAAATAAGTCCCCCGCTCGAGCGCCACTTTGTCCGCTCGAGCGGACTGCACAATTTTCCAAAACTGCTGGGAGGCCGATTTTCACGCTCGAACGGGAATCCCTCCGCTCGAGCGGACCACGCGAAAATCTGAAATTCTGGACTCTTTTCAAGCTTCAATTTCTCCTTTGCCAAAACAACTTCAAGGTGATGAAACCCAAGTCCCAAAATACTTGACCAACAACTTAAATTAAACATCAAATCTCTTCAAACAACCCACATGAATCCTTTACAAGATCAAACTTTGAATTATAATAGAAAACCATGAACATGTACATACAAGCTTCATTTCTTACATCCATGGAGGTTCTCCCTCAAATGTGACAAACATGCAAGGAAACCATGATTTTGACCATGAACTTCATACTATTATGCCATAATCTTGAGATCAACATGGTAGAGGCCAAGAAGCAACAATCTATTTAATGAAAATCTTACCTTAGATGGTGAATTGGAGAAGTTATCTTGTTTTTCCCCCTTTGCTTCTATCTTCTTCCCTTTGGTTTCTCTCTTCTACGAATTCACTCTCTCTCTCTCTCTCTTAGATATTTTCTTTCTTTTGTTTTGAGTCAAAATATGGTCAACATCCTTATCTATATATATATATCATAAAAATAGAATTGTGCCATAAACATGAGCCAAACAAGGCTTAGCGATTCAGACGAAATTCAGTCCTCAATTTATTTTCTCAAATGGTTCTAAAAATTCCCGGTATCACATAGGCGTGCTCAATTTTGTTTTCTGAACCCATTACGGCCATCAATTTCAGTCCCAAAGTTCTCGTCTCAGCAGATATTCTTCTAATTCAAACAGATATTCTTCAATTAATTTGCATAAACACATAATTAATTACTGATAAATATGACACATATTTTGGGGTCATTACAAGTGACCTCCTCTATATTTACTTTTTGAATAAAAAATATTATTTTCATCCTCTTGAGAAGAGGATGTGGTTGGAGATATTCTCATAACGGATATTTTTTATTATTTTTTCTTTTATTTTCTTAATGGATCGAAATGACAGCCATAAACAACAATTTTACAGTTTGGTTGCGTCCTAACGTTGCCATAATCTCAGAGCCCTGAGAAAAAAGCAAAAACAGACAACCTTGTCAAAGATACAAGTCATCAAAATTCACATTGGCTCACGATTATATACTCCACTCAACCTACCCATTATTCTTTTTAAATTTTATTTCAAAGCTCTACACTTTTCATTTTTAAGTGTACTAACATATAGGTATTCAATCGTAGTATAATTTTGTGAAACATGAGCATTAACAATTTTCAGCGTCACTGTAGTTTATGGATAATTATTATGATTTTTTCCCGGAAAAAATTGCCCATAAATGTATTCAAAAAATGGGTGTGTGGCGGAGATTGAACTTAATATATTTTGAATTTTTATCAATAATTAATCTGATTCACACAATTTAAATTTTAATATAAATTTAAATTCTTTTTCTAAATTTATAGCATTGCTGTTTTCTTTCACGTGGGCTGCTGACCAACAAAAGTAAAATTGAACTGCATCATATTTTGTTGTTTTCTCTTATTTTTCCACACTTTCCTGGAAAATTACTACCAACATTACTTTCATCTGAAAGATTTATATTTTAGTTAGAGAAATTACATTTTAGTGACTCTTTCACAAAATATTTACACATTTATAAAATTTATCACTTATCTAAAATCATTTAAAAAATTTGTATTGAATTGTAATTTCTCTTTTTAGTTATGTCAGAATAGTCTTGTAATGAGTCGCATAAACCAGCGTGTTGACATATTATTTATAGTACTATTATGTTGTATTATAATAACTTTTAGTGGGAATTAAGTGGGATTTGTTTGTATTTTGCTTGGATATTCGGAAGAATTTTTTGTTTTAGATAATTAATTAATATAATTTGGAAGGAGTTTGTGTCAAGTTGTGTTACAGTTTCATTGTCTGCCAAATTTCATATTCGATTTATTCAAAAGTGGTAAGTGGTAAGAATAATTGACTTAAATCACTCCCCCCCTAAAATTTGGAAGGGGAGAAGTCTAAGAGCAACTCTAACAGTCAATTAGTAAAAAGAATAGCTAAAGTTATAATTTAGTGATGAATAGTGTGAAAAAAGTTATAGAATAGCAATGATGTTCCAACGGGAAAATTGTTATTTTTTAGCATAACTGGACGACCGATCGGACGATTGACGGACTTCAAAATTCACTTTTTGCAACTTTCACCAAGTGGTCGGCCACTCGGTCATCTACCCAGTTGACGTTAGAGTGCCTCCAGCATGAAGATTCAAATCATCAAATAGGTATAGTCTAGATAGTAGTTGCAGAAGGAAGATGCCAAAACTGAAGATGTCTCTCGAACAAGTCAACTTGTCATCGAACATGTATTCAGGGTCTATATAACCCAAGCCTATGTTTCCCAAAACTTGTGCAAAATCAATATTACTCTTCTTTTCCTCCATCTCGATCCGCAACAACATTTCCCACATAAAATTAGAGAGCTTGGCTTTTATAAGAAAATACAAGTAATAGGCTAAACAAAGGGTTACACCCCTACAAAAACAAGAGATATTCAAGAAAACAAAATCCAAGAGATTGAAAACTGCTAAAACTAGCCTTCAAGTCCTTAACAGAGAGCAAGGCAACCCCCAATCATGTACATTGAAAATAAAATTGCTCAAACATTTATTACAGAGTCAATCATTGAAGGTTTCAAAGAACCTCAAGTTTCACTTTGTAGATGATTGAGTTGATATGTACAAATAACCAATTAAGTTGTGAGTTCTCTAATATTTCTGAATAGATAAAGGGTAGTCTGTAATCTACACCCCCATAAAATAGTAGTTATTTCAAGGAATTGAAAATCATGACTATTGACAGTTATTTAAACAGTTGGATCTAAAAGAATTAAAGCAATTTGAGGTATTTGAGAAAAGCAAAAAGTGTGATAGTCTACACCAACCTCAGGTGTAGACTTTATATAATACTAGAAATTGTGCGTGTGCATAAGATCATTTTCTTTTAGTCAAATAAGATTGTGAAATGTATGTTTGAATTCAAAATCTGAAAAGATCAAAAGTTATAAAAACAAAAAAATTCACTGAAAATAATGGCATAACTGATGTTATAAGGGCTCTTGTGGGTATTTTGAGGGGGGAAAAATTGTGACATAAACACCACTTTATATAGTATAGTATAGATGGATGGATAGATAATTCTTAGTAAAAATTATGCTCACTCTCAATTGACAGGATTTGAACAACAATTTAAACAAACAATTGAACAAACTAATCAAGCGACTGTGTTTTTGATTCAAATGCCTTGAAAGTACAAGGACTTCTTTGGAACAAAAGTTACAATCAACAAAATCAAACAAAGTAAACAGAGCAAACAAAAAGTAATTCCAAGATGAAACTACTAAAGTTCACAAAAGTTTACAAGGATACGAATTATGGAAGAAACTACTCTAAACTAAGAAAGCTACTCCTAGATTATGCTAAGTCTAAAACTAGTTCTTTGTGTTGTTGATGATGCCCTTCTCTCTACAAACTTCTTGGCCTTTATAGCTCCTCTTTCCCATGCCCCCATGATCTCCTCAATCTGCAACTGCTACTGCTGTGTAACTGCTACAAATGATTTCTGGCTTCTAGGTCTTCCAATCACGGTAGACCTTCACTTTTGTCTGTCGAGCTGCCCCTTCTTCAAGTTATCACGTGCCTACAAGCCCTTCTAACCTTCTCTCGACAGAGAAGACTCCCACTTTATTAATACTTTCTCTTAAAGGACTGCCCACTGAGTCCATGACCACTGCCAGTAACTACTCCATCACTAGCACTGTTTAATGCACATTTATCAATCTCTCTCATATTGCTTACCCTCTTTCACAACTGTTGAACCCTCACTTGATTTTGCCACATGTCGTATCCGAATTGGTCTACTTGTCGACAGGAACCAGCAAAAATGGGTGCAAACAATATCCCTCTAGTTTAAGTTGAATTAATATCAAATGCTTTCAACTTAAACAAACCTGCTTATTTGGGCCAAAAAGAAAGACTTGCTCTACCTTTGTATGAAAATGTATTACTTTGTATGCACTTATCAACTTCCTTTGAAAGTCTTCCACATGGTTGGATAGTATCTCTTAAGATACCTCCCATTTATATGCCTCCTTTGTGATTGCCCCTCCAAAGATTCCAATTGATATGCACCTCCCTTTATGACGTTGTGGATCTTAAAAGGGCCTTCTCAATTTGGTAACCACTTGCCAAACTCAAGGTCTTTTGTTCCCAATGACAAGATAGTTTTCCATACTAAATCACCTCCCCTAAAAAGTTTTAACTTAACCTTCTTGTTATAAACTCTCTCAACCTTCTTTTACTAAGTCATCATACAATCAAAGGCATCAATCCTTTTGCACTCTACATCTTGTAACTCCATAAATATGGCCTCTACATACTCATCGACATGAATATCATAATGCTTAGCCACCTTACTAGACCTCACTGTCACCTCCAAGGGTAGAACTGCAACATGACCATAAACTAACTCATAAGGAGATGCTTGAATGCTATCCCCCTTTGAATTCCTGTAGGCCCACAAAACCTCAGATAATAACTCATGTCAATCTCTTGGATTGTCTTCTATCACTTAGTATCACTTTGATTGTTTTGTTTGATGACTCTGCTTGCTCATTTTCTTAGGCATAAATATAGAGATGAGTTTAACATTTGAATGGAATACTCTTTGGCAAACTCCATCACTTCATCACCATTAAACAATGTCCTTTGATCGAAAGTAATTGTTTATGGCAAGCCAAACCTATGCACTTGGTGCTTCTTGATAAAATCAATCACATGAGATTGATTCACCACTTTTACCGGGACTGCTTCTACCCACTTAGTAAAATAATATGTGGTCACTAATATGAATGCATGTTGTTTTAAGGATGGTGGGAATATCTTGCCACTTAAATCCATTGCCCAACCCCTAAATGGCCAATGTTTGACAATTGAATGCAAATCTCTAGCTGGCACTTTTTGCACATTACCAATGCCTTTGGCACTGCTGGCATCCCTCTTCATAATCAATGCAATCTTTCCTTATATAGGGCCAAAAATACCCATGCCTTTTGATCAGTCATCTCATCTTTTCTCTTGCCTGATGAGCACCACAAATGTCCTCATGGACTTCTGCCATAAGCTGCATCTGTTTTAATCCTTCAATGCATAGCAAAGTCAACCCATCGTGGGTTCTTCTGAACAAGTCATCCCCCATAATTTATAGCTTGATACTTTATCCTTCTATCCACTTTTGTTTCTAGGTCACTCAAATACTTGATCAGAGGTGACCTCCAATTATCCTCTAACACCTCCAAAGTCAATACTGATAAGCTTCGCCACTGGCGACACCTAACACAAGGCATTGTCCTCTTCTGAATCCTATTTATCCTTTCTTAGAAACCCTTTGGAATCCTTAAACCAGAGGCTGCCTGGGCCATCTTGTTGGCCTCCTTATTCTCAAGTCTAAACATGTGTTCAAACTCTACTATCT